TTGCAGACTTGCTCTTCCCAAATGGCTGGTGAGTCTCGAACGAGCTATAAACTTCCTTCCAAAACCATTTTACGCATTCGCAGAAGCAAGGCTTGATATTTAAAACACTTTTTAGAAAGTTTTCTGCACCATGAAGATTTCTATTGGGCAAAGCATTGAAAAGATAAATTTTCAAGTGTTAGAGCCTGAATTTAAGGATAACTACAAGTAAAGCAATGAAGGGAACAGCTAATAAATCCGAAAATAAAATAACATGAATAAACATACCACAATGGCTACGCATGCAGCTTTTGTCAGGTTTAATTGATGCCAAATCAAAAGACTTTTGGTCAGTGATATCCAAAATGGGTAAGCCAGATGGTGAAGCAGGAATCACGGCAAATGGGGAAGAAATCGTCGAAAATTTGGTATTATCTACTAAAACCATAAACATGCTTTTCAGGTTCAAAGTAAAACAAAATAACATACCCGTTGTAAAGAGGTGAGGTCATTGGAAGTGCAGGATAAAGTTTTGTCAAATCGCTTCTCAATGCGCCTTTGGTTTTATCAGAAACTTTAGAACCTGCTTCCAGAATTGCCTGATCCCTAGCGGTAAGAGCAAGGTCAAACTTCTCTGTGTGATAGCTAAGTAAACAGTAATGGTTTGACCGAATATGAGGGTCGGATGTTCGATTCACAGGTACATTACTGTTGTTGCAGCAGTCACATGTTGGTGGTAGGAGAAATGGACGCTTTTCTCCAAGGAGACTATTAACAAAATACGAAAACAAAATCTTTTATGTACCGAGGCATCCGATTCCACTCAGCTGTGCAATGAACTATACTTGCAGGACATTTAAGTAGGTGATGTCCGAGAAACTGCCGCCGCATTCTTCGAGGACATCCAAATGAGGCACTAATGCATGGAACTTCAGCAAGGGGGCATACATTGCTAATATGCTCCTCCGCCTTGCATGCATGCATCTTATGGCCACAATTCAAGGGGCACTTTAAAACATGACATTCTTGAGAAGGACAATTCGCAAAAATGCAATTCCGACAATGTTTATAGCAGTATGTGTCTTCAAGCGTGACCTTAAATAGCAACTAGAAAATAAAGATTACCTTTTTTAATTTCATAGATGTAAATTTAGGTGGTGGCGGTGGTATGACACTCATTTGGTGACTACGTGAAGCAAAAATGGCAAAGTACAACCGTCTACAACCGTTCACCGTAATCAAAACGGTGGCTGTATCGACCGAGGAATTTAAGATATCATTTAGCGCAGATAAACGAAGAGACGTTAACAACATCTTATAATAATTTGTAAATTAGGTATGACATGCTTTTTTAGTTCAAGGTTACAATCAGATAAAAGTTACGTTCCGAAAATAATCATATTCATCTCGAAA